TTTTGGAAGTTATTGTTATTGATTTCTTCGTAGTTTCAAAATCCGATAATCTTGAAACGAAACACACATTTGAGGATTCCGAAGCGCGTGATTTCGTCGCCAATCTAATTTTCGGCAATTACTATTAGGGATTTCACGATTTTTAATTGCTTTTTTTATTGCGATGATTATTTACAAAATGGGTAAAAAGAAAAAATTCCTGCGTCCCCCTCCCAACAAAATGCCAGAATATCAATTAAAAAAATTTATATAGTTTTTTTGTAAACACAGAGCTTTTGTAATTTTAAATTAGTAACATAGTTTATTATTAAAAGTATCTTCCAGAAAGATATTAGTGCTAGAGAGTTTTGGCAGCTATAGATATTGATTTTCTAATGGATTTTAAAATGTTTCGATATATTTCAAACAATATGGAAAATTCGAATTGTGCATTTGAGTATTTATTTTTTAAGGCAATAATTCCAGGGAATTTTTGGAAGTTATTGCCATTGATTTCCTCATAGTTTCAAAATTCGATAATCTCGAAACGAAACACACATTTGAGGATTCCGAAACGCGTGATTTCGTCGTCGATCTTTTTTTCGGCAATTACTACATATATATATACGGATTTCATGATTTTTAATTATTTTTTTTAGTGTAATGATTATTTACAAAATGCGAAAAAGGAAATAAATCGTGCGAGAATATCAATTAAAAAAATTTGTATAGTTTTTTTGCAAACACAGTGCTTTTGTTATTTTAAATTAGTAGCATGTAGTTTATTATTAAAAGTATCTTCCAGAAAGATATTAGCGCTAGACAGCTTTGTCGCAGATAGCTCGAAAAAATTCTGCCACAGAGTTTCGGTCTTTTTAATAAAATGTATGAATTGCCAATGACATTAAATTTTTTTTTAATAAAATGTGCATAATATGTCTTTTTTTTTAATATAGTAAAATAAAAAAAAACACTAAAAAATAATTCACAATTAGGCCAAAGGCCGATCCAATGAATTCATCAGTTAGATAGAACCTAATTTTAAAACTATCATTTGATAAGACAAGGAAAGAAATATCTTTCTTCAAATGAAATATTTTCAAAATAGTAAGTTGACTTTTCATGTTAATATGTCCAGCACTGTTAATGAACATCAGGGTTCCGACAAAAGATCATTTAGGTTTCCATAAAGGAAAGGAAACAAATTAGAAACCGTCACAACTACAAATATTAAATAGATTTTTAGCTTTTTATTACCTATGATTAAGAGAAAATGAAATACTATTACAAGAAATAATATATACATTTATAGTTACTAAATATATTTATAGTTATATAATAGTTAATAGAAATAATATATACCAGTGAGCTGCACCCCCTGCTCGCTAACGCTCGCCAACCCCCGAAAATTGCCACGCAATCTTATACGGTTTGCTTCGCTCGCTACTAACTTAGGTACATTGCAAATGCACAAAATTCTAAGAATTCAAGACAATCATTTAAATCCATATAAAAACTTCTTTTTTTCAAAAAAAAATTGCATCTTTTTAGTAAATACTAAGTCATTAAAATAAATTTGAATTCAAATAAATGACATAATTCGTTAAACCTATTAGAAATGTGCTGTAGTATAATTCGCGATATAAATCAAAAATCGTCAGATAAATTCGTATTATATAATTTCGTGAAAAAAAGCGCTCTCGACAAAATACTAAAATAGAGATCTATCGACAAAGACTACTCACTTCTGCCTAGCTTAATAGTATGAGATTGCCGCAGCTGATGTTCTCTGGTCATTTCAGTTTCCGTTTTTAAAAGCGCTATATGTTGAGCCACTTCAGCTAGATTTGGCGTGTGACATTTTTAGCGGCAATCATTGGTCAATTTTCTAGCGTTGCCATTCGGGGAGTTGTAATGAGGCTTTTTTTTTGTCGCCGTGTAAGAGAAATAGTTACGTAAACAAAACAAAGCAAACGTTGCCACCGGCGGAAAAGAAATACAGCCAAAATTTGGGAGTCACGTAAGAGAATTATGTATATTAGATATTTATTTCTAGTAGCTTCCATGTGTATCTAGAAAAATATGCACAATGTATACATTTGTTGTTATTTGTATTTATACTGAAAATTTATTTTGAATGTCTGACATTATGACCAGAGTCATGCAGAAATATTTTTCACAAATTAAATAGAGTCAAGGAAACTAACTAAATAAAGACAAGGGGCCCAAATGTCTCCATTTTCTGGAGGATATGCAATATAGTGTAATGTAAACCAACCAGTGAAGGAACAATTTATATATATTGATTAAAAACAAGAATTTGAAAGTTTTTCTGTAGATTGATTGGTAACAGTAGCTTACTGCCAAACAATAGGAAGTCATCTAGCAATGTTTGGGATTACCTGGTCACATAGACTTCTCTGGAAAAAATTTTGAATTTGTTATTATCTCTGCAATACCTTGTTTTGTTGAAAAAATTATAAGGTGAGTGTTTGTATTTATATGTTTGAAGTGGAATTAATTGCATGTAATAGTTTTATTTCTCTCACTGTGAAAAAGAGAATTCAAAATATAGTTATTGAAGTTACGATTTATTTTTTTTAAAGCATCATAGCATAATAAAGTACTGAGATATGGGGGTGTTTATTCACTGGATCACCAAACGATGAAAAACCAGTGAAGGAACAAGTGTTTCTTTACTGGGTTTTTTTCTAAGTTAATGAAAATAAAAGATAAACTTTAACTTTCTTGTACCTTTAGTGATGTTCCTCATCAAAAATATGTTAAAAATACGAAAAACAACTTCTAACCAGTGAGGGAACAGGCATGTTCCTTTACTGGGCATAGATTTCCCAGTGAATGAACAGTATGTGTTAATATGTT